GGGAGGGCAGGGCTCAGCTCGGCTCCCGCCCCGGCCCTCGGCGGTCGCAGCCCCACGCCCTCCGCGCGGCCGGCCGCTTCCCGAACCCGCGCGCGCAATAGCTCTGAGGCTGCAGTGACCCCTGGTGGGTCCTCGCGTCCGTGCACGGGCAGCCGTGCGGAGCCGCGGGCCGGGCAGGGCCCCCGCTGGCCTTCGGAGCAGGTGCAATCTGGGCTCGCCAGCTGGGATCCAGCAGCGAGCTCGTGCGAGTCACAGTTGAGAGGAGACACGGGACGACTCAGGGCAGGTGAACGCAGGTCTCCCAGAAAACTCCTGTGCTCTACCCTCAGTGTTAGAAAGTGCAAGAGCTTTGGTATCAGATAGTCTTGAGTTCCTTCTACCACTTGTTGGCTTGGGTAGCCAGGGCTCAAAATGTTTGCTTAAAACCAAGGACGTTAATGCTAAAATAAAACCACACACACACACACACACACACACAACTTGGCTTCCACAGAGGAGTAGGAATAAAATGAACAATTGGCAACGTTGAGCGTTTCCTTCCATAGTGATTTGCCAAGAACTTTGTATGACGAAGTCTTGTCTTCCCTGCTACTGCGGCCCTGTCGTCTAAACCGTGAATCAGCACAACCCCCAAAGTGCCACGTAAACCTCGTGCTTGGTATTCATTTTACCTAAAACCATGAATAAACTCCTAGTTTATCTCCCAAGCTTCCTGCGAAATTGAAGCAGGTTTTGAATGTCTAATCAAATTCTGTATCCAACTTTGAGTTTCATTATTAAAATGTTTTGCCCAATTTATGAGCTACCGTCTTCTGATTTTAGTGTCTCTCCTTGCAGAGGGTTTTCTTTTTTGCAATGTCATCCTGACCTCAGTTGCCAAATGTGACTGAGTCACAATAATTTTTCACTCTTCACCACAGCATTCGACAGAGCCAACTAAGCTTGCAAAAACAAGAGAAAAGGTCCAAGCATAATCCTTTGTTTCCCAGTTTTGAATTTTTCAGCCACCTGTTTTATGGTCCTTTGCCTTGGTTTGTTTGTGTTTGCTTTTTACCTCTAATGTCATGGAAAAGCTGGGAGTTTGGCGAGGGGCGGGAACTCTGTCCCAGGCTGCTCAAAGGGAAAGTGCAATGCCCCCTACCATGACAGCTTGTTCTGACTGAGGCGTTTTCTTTTCATTTCTTTTTTTTTTTTTTTTTTTTTTTTTTTTTTCGGTACCGGGAACCGAACTCACGACCTTGCGCTTGCCAGGCAGGCGCTTTTGCCGCTGAGCTAAATCCCCAGCCCCTTTCTTTTAATTTCTTTGACGGGGGCTAGAGGAAAGAAAATTCTTAAATGTGCTTAACACAAAATGAGATATGATTCCACAGATTTTTTTTAGCAGCATTACTGAATATATTTGGCAACCATAAATGCATAAAGTATGCAGTTTAATAAGTTTTGATGCATGATTACGTCCAGAAAACAGCATGATCTAAACAAGCTACTACACATATCCATCGCCCCAACAAAATTTCCTCCTGCACCTTTGTCATCCCTTCCTCCCACCCACCACCACAGCTCCCCTCCCAGGCCATCAGATCCGCTTTCTGTCACTGTAGATTACCTGCACTCTCCAGGGTTTATATGAATGGAAGGAATCACACCGTATCGACTCTTTTTTGGTCTGGTTTTTTTCACTTGGCACAACTATTTTGAGATGTGGCCACATTTCGTATATAAGGGATCCGATTTTATTGCCTAGTAGTATTCCATCGCATATCAATACTATACATGTTTTCCTATTCATTTGGACAGCATCCAGTGCTTGACTATTGCAAATACAGCTATGCGGATCCTATCAGTCAGCCCAGGCTCTCACAAACACTGCGGACTGAATGGCCTACACAACAGACATTTATGTTTTCACAGTTCTGGGGGCTGGAAGTTCCAAACCATGGTAGTGGTGTGGTTTGTTTCTGGTGAGGCCTCTTCCATCTTGCTGTGTGCTCACTTGACCTTTTCTATGTATGTTCACCAAGACTCTGTGTGTGTGTGTGTGTGTGTGTGTGTGTGTGTGTGTGTCTGTGTGTGTATTTTTGTGTGACAGAGACACAGAGAGAGCACTCTGGGGTCTATTTGTATAAGGACACTGACCTTTAGTATCAGGGTACCACCTTATCTCTTAACCTTAATTGCCTCTTTAGAGACCCCCTTTCTAAATACAATCATTAGGTAAAAGCTTCAACATAGGAGTGTTGAAGAGACACAACTCAGACTTTATCTGGACATGTGCTTTTATTTTTGAATAAAAAGTGGAATGACTGGATCAAAAGATACAGTAAGTCCCCAACTTATGAACATTCAAGTTGCAAACTCTCACAGGTGTGCTGTGTAAGACCCACTCTATCAGCTTATGAATGACTCTCACAAACAGTTCTTCCAGAACAGAACTCGTGCATAAGTTGGGGACTTACTTATATAAATGGCAAGTAAGCATTTGGAAGGATTTTCAGCACCATTATTCATAAGAGAAATGCAAATTAAAACCATCATAACACTGGACCTAATAGAATGGCTTTTATACCAAACTCCTATACCACCATACCCAGTGTTGGTGAGGCTGTGGAGTGATTTGAAGTCTCATACACTGCCAGTGTGTATATAAGATGGTGAAACTACTTTGAATAAGAGTTTGGCAGTTTCTTAAAAGTTGAATGTACACCTTTCACAGGATTTTGTAGAAAGGCTTTCTCTGCCTATCCAGAGAAGCAAAATAGTAAGATACTATTCAAACTGCTTTTCAGAAAAAAAAAAAATAGTTTTCCAACATGTGCACAACATAATATACTGTATCTAAAGTTTTGTGTCAAAACCTTTTATCTTTTCAGATATTTTTTAAATTTTTTTTCTCTCATCAAGATGATGAATTTTTTTATTTTGGTTGTCAGATCATCTTTTTATTGAGATATGTTGTTTCTTAGCTAGCTGGGCATTCTACTACACCATTGTTGATGTCATCTATAATATCGTGAGGGTGCCGGCTGTCCACGTTGCAGACCACAGGCTGGGCGGTCCCCGGATTTCTTTAATGGTTCAGGAAAGTTCTCTGGCTAAAGACCAGTGCTGCATCTGTTGGGCAATGTCGACAATCTCATCAAAAGTGATATTTCCACTGTGTTGAATGTGTTTCTGCTTTCTGTCCCTTGGCGGCTCCTAGAGGGCTTTGATGATCAGGGCAGAGGCAGAAGGCACCACCTCAATCTGAGCCTGTCTGTTCTGAATGGTCAGTGTCACTGCAATCCTCAGACCCTTCTGGCCACCAGTTGCCTTGGCGATGTCATCACCCACTTTTTTGGAGACAGAGCCAAGGGACCGATCTTGGGTGCCAGGGCAGACGTGGCGCCGACTTCGCCACTCGTGCACCTCAGGTACATGACTTTGATCTCGTTGGGGTCGAACTTGGGGGGCATGGTGGTAGCAGCTGTGTATGATGAACCCGGATTTGGGATGACCAAAGAAAGTTGCACATTAGCCTCCTCCTAGGTGAAACCCGAAAGGAATATATTCTTATAAGTCTAATGTAGATAAGTCAAATGACACACAAATTCAGAATACATATAATTCTGTGGAAATGTGTCAGTCATCTGCAAAGGCCTTCAGGAATCCTCATGTTGGACGAAGAAATTTCACTTTACATAAAACATCCCCACCATTGGCTGAAACGTGCATTTCAGACTTCCAGACACAATTCTTTTTTAAGTATTGTATTCTCTTTAGGAAGATGTAGTTAAACAAGGCTTGTCTTTTGTCATCTTTTTATAGTTCTACATTTTCTAAACTTCTCAAAGTTGACTGTTACTTGAAAAAAAGAAAAGAGAAAATCTCTCGAAAATATTGACAATAAATAAGTCAGTAACAATTACTTAAGTCTGACTGCAAAGCAGCAAAATCACCAGGAGGCCTTGTTAAGACCCAGACTCCTGGCCCCACCCAAATCCCTGGCTCTAGGTCTGGAGGGGGTCCTAGCATTTTGCATTTCTAACAAATTCCCAG